AACACACACATCCACACATGTGCAATAGCAACAACACTAAGTGCAATACTCTTTCTGGCATCTTTGTATTATACTCATATTGTATATAGCATTTGTATTCTATTTTATTCGATTGTATATAATATTTTATTCTATTTTTATTTTATTTTATTATATTCTATTGTGTACAGTATCTTATGGATATATTATTCCAGTGTTTTTTTCTTCTAATTTTTCTGTGCAACTTTGCATTGTCCACTGCTGTAACAAAACAAATTTCCCACGCGTGGGACTAATAAAGGTTATCTTATCTTATCTTAACAATAATCAAAACTAGTGTTAATGTTCTTTTTTTTAAATGATGGGGGGAAAAATCATGTAATCCATAACACAAAGATAAGAGATAAGAAAAGATAAGATAAGATAAACTCTGATTAGTCACACGTGCGAAATTTGTTGAGTCACGACAGAAAGTGAACAGTGCAAAGTTACAGGGAGCAACAGTCAAGAAAAACAATGGAATAGAATAAGATAAAAAGAATAACATACTATATAAAATAGAATAAAATACTATGTTTGGATACACATACTTTACAGGAGTTAAAGTATGCACATAAATACATGATCACTTTTTCAGTGTGTCCGAGGCACATTACCTGTGATATAAGCCTGCTCGTGAGGATCATCGATGCTGAGAAGAGAAGCTCCCTGCTGTTTGCAGCTGACTTGTGCCTGGTGCCAAGTCAAAGCTGACTGTATGTTAAGCTGGTAATACGCTCCCGTTGTTGGGTGCATATTCCAGTCTTCCTTGGCTGTATATACAAAATGCATATATGTTTATAAGTTATGTCAAACTCATTTTAGATCATGGGTAACTTTAATCTTTAGTGAGCCTAACCAGTGAAACTCAGCTTTCCTTCAATGCAATTCAAATGTATAGCTCAGGTTCTCCGCATGAGAAATGTATAAAATGACAGAAAAGATTCTGGTAGCTCATTGCTCACACTGTCCTTTATCTTTTTAAAAGATAAAAGTTTTTTTTTTTTCAATTCAAAGAAAAATTGTCTTTTTTGGAGGGGGTAAAAACAGCTTTTCTGTCATTTAATTGTTTTTCTATAATGTAACTACTTTGTTGTAGTATGAATGGAAATAGTGATTGAGTCATGATCAAGGAAAATTGGGAAGATAAGAAAAGCAGCAGAACTTATCAAAATACAGTTAAAAGTTTAAAGTCTATGCACTTCTTCATATTTTCCAGAGTCTTCCAGTGGGTTGGTTTGGAGTCTTTCCCAAGCCAATTCTGGCCCCGGTCTTCAACAACGCTGGTGCAATAGTTAAGGTAATACTTTACTTCTCTAACTCAATGTTGATTTTTTGCCTCTGTTCAGCTATGGGAGTTGACTTAAGTTAAAAGTATATAACAAACCAGAGAATCCTTGTAAGAGCTCTGAAAAATAATTGTAGGTCCTAATAGTTCAATTATTTACTTCAATTGATTTCATTACTCACACATAGTTGGGCAGTACCCCCAGCGTTCGCTTTGATAGTTTGTTTCAACTGCACACCAAAGACGCTTTTCCGAGGAGTCAAATTTAGTACAGTCTGAATACCACTGAGTTTTGTATAGAAAGGGAAACATACACGGCCTTCCCGCTGCATTTCCACCGATGGTAAAAAGCTCTAAAAGGTCAAATAAAGGTCAAATAAACAAACAAACAAAACAAAGAGTGACTGTAAAACACATTTATCACAAACAGCTTTAAGACATGAAGCTATAAATTGCATTATATTCTTTTTCACATGGCACAATACCTCTATAAGTTCTTGTGCAGGCACCACTGGATGTTCCTGAAATTGTGAGGTGGTTATTTGGTCCTGTTGTCCTGGAGAGAATGGCTGTGTTATCTGCAGTGAGCTCAATGTAAAGCTCCTGGCCTTTAAGAGCGAGCACTGTTTCGTTCTTGCATTCCCACTTTTGGAGCTCACTGGCTTCATCGCAATCGTAGAGGTTTACTTCACTGCCCACACTTTTTCCCTGGACACCCAGGCACTTGTTCCTCTGCAGAACCAGTAGTCGATCACCAATTGTCCAGCGAATGTCATTGCAGTGGTTAATTGTTTTTATCAAACAAAAACCAGTGCCCCTGTTAGTTAGCTGAAATGGTGAGTCTGTTGAAAAATAATTGATATAAATTCACTTCATTTCCATGACTGGGATTGCTTTTGGTGCCTCATTGACTCTGAATCATTTGGCTCTTCTTGCTGACAAGAAGAGCCAAATGATATGCTGACATAAATTAACAGGATAAACACGCTTGTTTTAAAAACACAGAGCAGAGGAAATCAATAAAATCTGACAAAAGATTAAAATTAAAAGTTGGATTACTGTACCATCTGAAGCCAAACAATCAAATGTTTGGATGAGGATCACAAAGATTTTACAAGTTATCCTCATTGTTAGTATTCTTGCATTTCGTAGCAGAAAACTTTATACATTCATTTCTTGCAAAGTGTTTAAGGCTTGTGTGAATGACTGTTGACCACCAGTCCAAAGAGTATTATTTGTTCTGTCTCAGAGGAACAAGGAGGGCCTTATCAACTTCCAGTATTACACAAATTACTATGTGATTGAAACTGAGTAATGAACAAATCAGTGTGTGAAACAGGAAGTGTTAGATTTACAGTTACAATTATGTTGCAACAACCACGCTGAGGAAGTTATGATATCCTTCTGTGAAGGCCTGAAAGAACTCAGTGGACTTTCCGTGGATGCACTGGTTCTGTTAAACTGATGTACCGGTTTTTATCATTTATCCTGTTTAGTCTTTGCCCCCTACCTATATGATGGATGTACATGTGTTTTTCTTATACACTTTACATTAACAGTTTTGATACGTGCAATACAATTAAAGCTTTATTATTACTAAAACTCAACATTGAGTATAGCTGATGAATCAGTGTTACCTTGAGGAGAAAACACACAATGTAAGTCTTGGCTTGCAAAGAGAGTAGAG